AACAACTTTAGACGCATTTGTTGTTGAATTGGCTGACAGACTGAAATGACTATTTGCTCAAAAATCATAAAATACACTTACTGTTACTGGAGGTGACGTTGGATCGCAAACAGTAGACGACGATCCACAGTTGAGGATTAATTTTTATGCCACAACAACAGGATTAACCCACGACAGAACGTTTACGTTTCCAAGAGACATTACCGGCTGTCGTTGAAACAATGGAGGATGTACAGATCACCGAGGGCGGGGTCTAGGCCACAACCACACTGTCAATCAAACCCCTTGCTCACTTTCTACGTCACAAAGACCTGGATCTTAGAACAGCTCGTTCTGAGACAGTGCACATGATTTATTGAGATTGAAAAAAAAACACTGGGTGGATTTTTATCATTCTAGGGTGGTTTTGCTCACACACTGCCAACACACATTTATGTTCAAACACCATGTAAAAGTGAATTTTCCATAATAGGTGCCCTTTAAGTACAGATAAATAAGCACAATGTACCAAACATTTCACTGATCCATATAAAACATACGGATCATATCAACTATCACAAATGATTAGCCTGTAACAAATATCTTATCAACTACGATGCACTACAAAGCAAATGATAATTTGATGGACATACCTATCCCTCTATTGACATGAGACTCTAGAATAGTTTCAATTGGTGGAGGCGTAACGTTAGGAATTAGGCCTAGTCTCCGTGGATCCTCTGGTCTTACAGTCTGACTCCTTGGCATCCCCTTGTCAGCCTGTAACCTTTCATTCAGAATTGCTGCCTGTAGATCTGGTATGTAGCTGTAATCCTTCTTTGCCTTCAAAGCATGTACTGTCCATCTCCCTGTTTTTTTCTGAAACACTCTACGAAAGCTGTAAAGTATGATATTATAGTGATACAAACATATATATATTTTTAAATACAGTTATATGGTAATTTGAATTTGACAAAGAACAAACAAATGCGTGGCATTTCACAATCATACCCTGCTAGTGCCTTTTGTAGAAGTATGGCATGTTAAATTATGGTATTCGTACATCTTTTCCCCCTTTTTGTTTAGTAGTGTTGGTCTATCCTCATGCTGGTATAATCCAGGGCTGCCAGGAGAGTTCTTGCCTCGTACACCATCGGTGAATAGCTGAACCGCTTGCTGGCATACATAAACAAGTGGTTGTGGAATGCCTCAAGCTCACAGGTTGATCTGTACAAATAATTTATGTTTTCATACACAGGGTTACTCAACACTTACTGTAACCTAATCAGTATGTAAAATAAAATAAAATGTAATACCAAAATAATTACTTTTAGTAAATGATTACTTGAACATTGTTGAGTAACGGAAAAAACAAAAAATGCATAAAAGAATTTGGCAGTAGGGATAATGCTTCCTGTAGTTACCTGAAAGGTTCGTAGATATCGGTGGACATCTCTGTGCCATCTCCTCTTAAACAGCCCGTTCTCATCCCAAGACGTCCTCTAACTGACGCTTTTGACCATACGTCAACATCCAACGTTTTAGGGCACCCTTTAACGTCAGTTAGATGACGCTATCTAACCCTAAGACCTACCCCAGACCTAAACCTACCCGCGTCATCTAACTGACGCTAAAGGTAAAGCGTTCAGATGGATGACGCCCCAGGATCATCATCTAACGTTAAAGGGTACCCTAAAACGTCAGATGGTGACGTATTTTCAAAAGCGTCAGTTAGATGACGTCATGAGATGAGAATCTTACACACTATAGCTTCCAGTTCCTTATGAGCCTGGGAACCACTCTCCATCCATTGTCTGTCTTGGTTATCTGGCAGTGGCCCATGCAGGCAGTGACCAAGGTACCACTCGTGCTTGTTTGTTACATGATGACTAGCCTGGATGTCAGCCCAAACTCAGCCCACAACATTTTTTGGTCGGGAAGTTCTGTCTGGACTCGATCCATTGAGGAGTAATTATGATCAGGCGAAAAAATTTCAGGCTTTATACGATGATGGACAGATGATCTGCAGGGACGTAATCATCACGTTATCAAAGAGATGACTGCAGCTGGAGAATTGAGATTATAGATTCCGCTGTCGCGTCTGTTTTTAAAATTAATCGACAGCACATTCATTTTAATAGTCAAACAGAGAACTGCAATCAAGGCATTTGTCGATCGGAAAGATATTTTTGCCGTCCTTCCAACATGATTCGGGAAAAGTGTAACTTATCAGCTGGCTCTGACGGTCGTTAAGAAGATGGGACGTAATGAAAAGCCTGTGGTCGTTGTGGTTTCTCCTTTGGTCGCACTCATGAAGAACCAAGTAAAAGAAGCAACACTCGTTATTTAACTCCTAAAATAAATAAGTTCTGTAGTTGACAACTGTATGCAAAGTAGTTGACTTATGCGTTGCTCTGATTGGTTGTTGGTCTACCGACTATCCAATTGAGTGCAGAGTTTTTTTTTTCCTGGTTCGGTTACGACACGCCTCATAATCAAAGCCCAATGGATGAGTTTCAGACTCATATTCTCAATAGAATATGAGTATGACGAAGTCAGGCTAGACTGCTCCGTTGTTTCTAAAATACAAATGTTTGGATATAATCACATAGTTTAACAACAAAATAATAGAGTTATTCTAGGTGTTGTCATGTGTCCTCATTATGCTCTGAGAATAAATTGTTTGTAAAGGTGTAAAAGGTATCTCTGGCCTAACATATTAATAAAGACTCTAACATCATAGCACATAGATGCACAGGATTAGGGGCATGGACATTATTTAATTATAATATAAAAATATGTTATTTTTTAATTAATTTAATTTTTAACAATTTCTAGTGTAATACTAGCAAGGAACTGTTGCTCCGTGTCTGCCGTCTTACAGCAGAACCAGAAGTGATTTACAATTTATTTTCCAGTGGAGAAGGATCTTCTGCTGCCTAAGTTTGCACGTAACATTTGTGGTTTACTACATTTTATAAAGCAACATTAAATGTATGCCTGCACAACAAAGAGACTCAAGAATGACAACGTACCGCAGAGATTGATTTGGCTAAATTCTTCACCCCATGCAATATATCCCATGAGTGAACAATTCCTGTCTTTATAGCGACCAGTAGTTTTACCTTACAGAGGAGCATATCAGTGCAAATTTCTGCAATCTTCACTTCACCAAGACGCTTGTCCACGGTCGTGACAAAAGCCTCTTTCTCCGTGATCACAGAATTACGTGCAGTCTGCCTCTAATCGATGGTCACAAGTGAGATGATTTCTTTTGAATCATTCTCCATGGCAGTGTAGGAGCAATACTGGGCACAGAAGCCAGGACTGTTCATTCGTCCATCTGCTGTAGAGGACACAAGACATCTTTTCTTTTCCAAACATTTAAGAAATACTATACTTTTTCTAAAATATTTGAATAAAGAAATTAAATCAAAGAGAAAATCGAAAATAAATAATTTGACAGAATTCATATGGTTATTTGCTAATTTAATAAAACAACAACATGGAACTAAGATGACAACACCATCTTTACTCTTCACACGTTGAATGTCTGCAGATCTCTTCTCCTCCTGACTTTCTTTATTGCTCAAAAAAGGTGTCCTTCCCTATAAAGTCCCATGTTCATATGGTTGAATAGGTGTGCTACTTTGTAGTAATTATTTCCTGTTTGTGGCCATGAAATCCCCTGCCTGCATGCTGTATTTTACTGTGGCCTGTGAATTCCACGTCCATACTCTGTGTCCATTTGAACACTTCTAAAAGATAATGACACAGTAGGTTAATTGCATGTCTGCACTTACACATAATATGTTATACGCCACTTTTAATTTCTAATATACACCATCTCGCAGTTTTATTCAAAATATGGTTAAAGTTGTGCCTCGGGCATTTGTAACACAGATACGCGTTTCCCAGAGAGGTTGGAGGGGGGTGTCCGTTTTTTTCCCTTCCCAAAACCGAAGTCAAATCCTGACAGTGACAAGTGTCGTGTTTGTATTAAACTGTGTGGACGTCCTCAGTCAGCAAAACAAGAACATCTTTTTTTTGCTCCTAACCTTACTGTAAGTGTGAAGTTATACTAGTTAGACCGTTTTATAATGTTTTAGGTTACAATTTCGGTTCTCATACCGGTTGTTGATACGCTAGCACACGCTGCTAGTAAATAAAACGTTATACAGTACTCGTGTAGTCCGTTTGCTTTGTAATAACGATTATAGAAGTGAATAGAGACCTACCCAGCTTTGCATGAACAGTGTTGCTCCCTGATATTGTTAGTCCCAGCCTCCGTCTCGATTAGTAGGAAATGCGGTGGTTCATTTTTTGACTGTGAGCGGTAACTTAACGTTATGCTTTTGCCTCTATTTTGGATGCCTTGTTGTTGATTGCGTTTCACATGTATGTCTTGAATATAGCCTTATTGCACGCATATTATTGCAGCCCCTTTTGCCTACTTCTATAGGACACTTTATTTGCTGCTTTATAAAAGTTTGATAACATTTCAGCAGGAAGAGCTGTTACAGCATAAGCCATGCAGAGCGCAGATGAAGTTTGACGGATAGCAACAGTAACTAAGGGGGGCGGGGCTTAGCCAAAGGTGAATTATTTCAAAATGGTATTTCTCTTAAAAATCTTTGTAAACTTTTGGGATATGTAACTGCAGAAATATATCACACTGTGCAAGTGATTTTGGGATATTTTATTACAAAATTCTTATTGGACCTTTAAATCTAGTAGTTTGTGGGTTTTAGGCCATTTGTATTGATGTGTTATTGCAATCAGTAAAATCAGTGTCCTTCAGTGAACCTGCAACAATGCTGAAATAAAGTCTGTGTTTATTTTTGAGCCTGCTTTTAAACATTAACGGGCTATCTTTCATATATTCGTGTGCGGGAAAAGCGTCAATTAAACTAAACTAAACTAGTCAATACACATCTTGAAACATCGTGTTCGTGTATTCTGTTCTGCCGCTGTTTGACTGTTCTTCCTCTTGAGGGGCGGCGGGGAGAGAAAGAGGAGGAAGAAGACGGGTGGAGCATTGTTTGCTGTTGTTCAATTTGGCTATTTTTCAACGATTTTCTTTGTTTGCCTCTTATTTATGTTACGAAAATGGTTTAAAACTAAATATAATATGTCAGTTCCGTATGTTAAGTATAATTTAGTTTCTATCGTCGCGGTTTAAAACGCAAGAGTTTCTCCGTTTCCACTCGTGGACTTCAAGCTCAAGCTTCTGTTTCCTTGTTCTTCAGAATGCAAAATACAGAAGATCTTCGATCAGCAATGCAACCAGGTTAGTCTAGTGTAATGGGTTATATTGTACAGTTTGCAGTAACTCTATTTGAGATTTAATTTGCGAGGATTAAGTCCGCACCGAAAATTTGACCAAACCGAAACCGAAACCAAGAAATGGCTACACTTGATTAGACTTTGTTTGGAATAAAAATAAGCGTGAGCTCGTGATTATGTTGTGATTAGTGTCTATATGTTTTACTAAAAATGATCCCTTTTGTAGAGAAACGTTTTTGTAGAGAAACCTTTTTTTTTGCTTGTGCCTGTTTTGTGTTATGTTATAGCCTAGCTGTTATGTTATAGGCCCGAGCCTACTTTCTAAAAACAGTCACAAACGATGCCATTTTTATCATTAAATTTAAACAATAAATGTTGTTTTGATGTGGTTTAATGTGGTCCGTGACAGTTCTTCCTGTTTACATCTGAATACAGATCTCTGCGCCGATCAGACATTAGGCCTACTCAATTTTAGCATTTAAAGAATCATAAATGAACATGAGATTGAACATGACTAGACTCACAAAATGAGTCTAGTGCTCAATAACTTTAATTTGGTTTGACACTTGTTTGATTTCAGTGATTGCTAATATTACAATCTGTTATTGCCCCGAGATTAGGCCTATGACGCATTTTCAGAGATGTGTGTGTGTGTGTGTGGGATGTGTGTGTGTCTTTATATGGCCATGTGAAACAATGGGATCATTTTTTTGTCTTTAATATTGTAACTTTTCAAGAAACTAATGAAAATATGGACACTGAATAAAATATCTTTGAAACCGGAAATAAAAATGGCAGGCTATTCACAAGTAAGTCACACGTGTTTTGTTAGCCTGGTTATAACAGACCATTCTCCGTTGTCACTTAGTTATGGTCTGGCAAAGCTTTTATTAAAAAAAAAAAAAAATCATTTCCAGAGGGGAGTCACCATGTAAGCTCAAATGCCTCTGGAAAATTACACTATGCCTCATTGTGTAATTTATGGAAAGTACATTCACTTCTAGTTGTCTTGCTGTTAATTTCAAATGAACGTAGAGCAAGAAGCAAATCAGTGTCTGCTCATTTATTCAGGTGTTCATAACAGACGAACGTCGCTCTGCATACGTCATCTCCTTGAATGAATGAAATGTTTTTATTTCGAACATGTAGAAAAACAAACAAACAAACAAACAAAAATAATCATAATAACAATTAATAACAAAAACAATTAATAACAAAAAACAATTTTAACTTATACATGTCCGAAAAGGAGTAGGAAGAAGCATAAGCTTATTCAATCCTACCCCATCTCCACTACTTTTTAATAATTAATTAACTAATTAACCGGTTGACCGAACATCTTGATCTATTTGTCTCTACACACCAAAAAACAAAAAAACAACATACATATTTATTATTTACCTTCGTTTATATAGATCTTATATATAATAAATTACATATGAATATAAATAAAAAAATAATAATAATAGAAAATGAAATTAAATGAAAAAAAAAATGAAAAAATATAAATAAACTATCACCTAACTAATAACCTTCTTCCTCTATATACCTTGCAAATATCATATTTTTACAGTGCTTTTTAAACTGAGTCATACTTGGGCATTGTTTAAGCACTGAACTTAATCTGTTCCACAACTTCATTTCACATATCGAAACACAAAAACTTTTTAATGTTGTACGGACACATAATTGTTTAAAGTTGCACTCACCCCTAATAGTATATCTCCCTTATCTATTAAAAAACAGTTGTTGAATATTACCAGGGAGTAGGTTATTTTTTGCTTTATACATTATTTGTGCTGTTTGAACATAAACCAGATCAGTAAATTTCAACGTTTTGGATTTTAAAAAAATAATACATTTGTGTGATCTCTATAACCAACACCTTGAATCATCCTTTTTTGTAACATAAATAAAGATAATAGTCTGCATCTGTAAGTATTAAACCTCTGCACAATAGTTTAGATATGGTAATATCAGCGCACAGTAAAGAATGTGGAGTGATTTGTAACTCAGAACATGTTTCGCTTTGTTCAATATTGAAATACTTCTTGAAAGTTTATTGTATACATTTTTAATGTGAGATTTCCAACATATTTTGTCATCTATTATCACCCCAAGAAACTTATTTTCTTTAACCTGTTCTATGTCCACCCCATCTACATGTATCTGAATTTGTATACTCTTTTTACAGTTACCAAATAACATGAAGTAGGTTTTATTAATGTTTAATGATAATTTATTTCTATCAAACCTTCTTTTTAATTTATACATTGCTGAAGTAATAATCTCCACTAGTTCCTGTAAATTCTCTATATCGCACGATATTGTTATGTGCAGGGTGCGATTTGTGAAAAAAACAGAGGGAGGGATGTTTTGAAAACAAAATATTCATAAAAATAAATCATGAGAACATGAACTTCATCAATGCATTTGCAGGAAAAAAAAAATCTTATTAACTCATGAAGTATCCTAACGCAATATTTTTACTCTAATAGCTTCCCACACATTATGAACTGTGATCATACTCAACGAAAAACATGCAATCACTAAATCAATAGATTAATAGAGTAGGCTAATTTATATCAGCCTCCCCTGAACCACGGATTGATTGCAAAGTTAAACCATCATAGAAACAGTTTTACTGCTGCTGTTAAGTGAAAGTAATAATGTTAATGTTACATTGCGATGCTGAGATACAGCGAAATGATAGAAAAGACAGATGCATCATCTATGTTAATCAATTTGCTTCATTCGCGCTGCAGAACCTCTAGACGCGCGCAAACGCGTCTTTACATCAATTTAACATTGAAATCACTCGCGCCAGACGTTCAAGGGTGAGTGAATTTGATTAGCAGTAAATCACCTTCACATGCTTTCAGATGGACGATATGAGTGTTAAATTAAACTGTTATTTAGATAATTAAGTGATTAATTTAGTGAAGATTGAGCATTATTGAAGACACCTGATGATCACAAGCAGAATCTCTGAAGGAGAAAATCACAAATTGTAAGCCACCGTTATGGAGATCAGTGTTTGCTTTAGTTGGAATCTTGACACCTTTACTTTCACTTTAAATTTTGTTTGTCTGCTGCTATTGATTTATAGCAGTCAAATAAGACATCTGTGATCTGATAGTGTAGATTATGCTTTGACATAATCATGTTTGATCTGAAAAAATGAATTCTATTTTTATGATTTGCTTTAATTTGTTAGCAACAGTTTTGTGTTTGTGTTGCATATCTGTATTTTTCTTATAACTTAAAATTTTTAATATATATTCTGATCAAATCACTCTCATCTTTATTTAGAAACAGAGATCAATAATCAGCCTGTGTATCTCAATTGTGTTGAAAAAATTAATCCTTGTTGCCACCAATCACAACTCATTAATGGCTCCCATCATGCATTGCGGTTTGAATAAATTATGATCTGAATTGTCTATGTAATTTACTTTTCCTACTTGAATATTCTACTCATCACCGTTGTTGAGAAGCATTGACTGAATCTTGAGGTCTGTGTGTGCCTTAAAGAAAGATTTTTTTTTTTTAAACAACTTTTGAGAAATCTGTCTATTTACATAAATAAAGATAATAGTCTGCATCTGTAAGTATTAAACCTCTGCACAATAGTTTAGATATGGTAATATCAGTGCATAGTAAGAATGTGGAGTGATTTGTAACTCAGAACATGTTTCGCTTTGTTCAATATTGAAATACTTCTTGAAAGTTTATTGTATACATTTTTAATGTGAGATTTCCAACATATTTTGTCATCTATTATCACCCCAAGAAACTTATTTTCTTTAACCTGTTCTATGTCCACCCTATCTACATGTATCTGAATTTGTATACTCTTTTTACAGTTACCAAATAACATGAAGTAGGTTTTATTAATGTTTAATGATAATTTATTTCTATCAAACCTTCTTTTTAATTTATACATTGCTGAAGTAATAATCTCCACTAGTTCCTGTAAATTCTCCCCAGAACAAAAAAAAATATTTGTGTCGTCCGCAAATAGTACTAGTTTCACTGTCTTTGTAACTTTACAAATATAATTTATATATGACAAAAACAAATTTGGATCCAAAACTGACCCCTGGGGTACGCCACAAATAATGATTAAGATGATTAATAAGATTATATATCCACTTGTTTCAATACAAATTGAAAAAATATATATATTTCTGAGTAATGAGTGTTTATTTGTAATGTATTATTTTGTGTTTTGCAGAAAACTGAAGAGTTGTGAAGATCTTCTGTGATCTTGAAACATGATGGAGAAAAACGCTGTGAGTTTAAACTTATATTCATGAACCTTATATAAAGAAGTAAAACTATAAACCTACAACCATTTAATTTTAATACATTTTATATATGATGATTCGATTGATTTGTTATTGTATTTGTAATCAATTTTAAGTTCTGTAACAAGTATGCCCCCATACCAAATAATGTGTTGATCATTGTTTTGCCTTTGTGCAAAATGTAAATACTATTTTAAAGGGACAATGCGTACTTTTTTAGGTATTGTATTATCTAAAATCAATATTTTTATTCATAATTATCTCCTCAATGGTGTACAAATACCTCTGCCAATGATCTGACTTATCCTCGTAAACGAAGAATTTATTATCTTTATATGCATGGGGCGGGTAGGTCCACGGAGGCTTCCATGTCCTTCCGCCATCTTGAAAAACTATAATAGCAGAGAGGGACATAAAGTACCAGGCCAATGCGTTTCCACAGCGTGTTTTCTGTTTATGTCAAATTGCCATAAAGCAGTTTGTGTTTCTCGCTCGTTCTCGCTTCTCACGGGACGTCAGTCCCGATGTTGCAAGGTTGGTTTTCCGCCAGGGAACGCTGGGGGGAGCAGGGAAGGTCACCATTCTCTCCAGAACAGGTTTCTGAACCATTCAAATGATTTCTAAACACATTTATTAAGTTGAAATAGTTGCCAAGTGCTCCTTTAAAAGGCTGTACTGTTATTTTTAATGCCGGGCCATATGACAAAACACAAGGGAAGAAATCCCTGTCGCTAAAAAAGTCCAAAATACAGCGTAAAAAGGAAGTTCACCCGAAGGAACACTCAAAGAAGTGCTTTTAGAAGACATCCTGTCAGAGCTTTTTGGTACATAATGGCTACCGTAGATGCAACACGCATTTGAGAAAGCAAGGCGCTGTAGAGCACAATTCGTTTGAATGCATAAAAACATTTTCACTAGGGATGCACCGAAATGAAAATTCTTGGCCGAAACCGAAAACCGAAACACCGAAAGAAATTATGCCAATTATTAGTATCATTGCATTTATGGCTATGACTGTGTACAAACTTTACTAAAATCAAGGCATTGCAATTGCATAAATTAATATGACATTTTCAAAGAATAAATCAATTACAAATTATGCAAATATTTATTTAGCACAATGCACAGTATAAAATAAAATTCAAACTAAAATGTTTAATTTGACCCCACTCATGTGTACACTAAATAATAATCTACTGGCCTGCAGAAAGGTTTTAAAATGAAATGTTCTCTCAAAAACAAAGCCGAGCAAACTTCTCATCACACTAGCACCCATTTTGCATGTCTAAATTAGTTAAATTTTAAAAATGTAGCATACAATAGCATAAAAAGCCTTTTTAAATGAACAATGGTCCATGTTTAATACAAATGTACATGAAACTTAATGAAACATGTTTAGTGAATGTAGAAAATATTTAAGAGAGCATTAATTTAGTTCTATACATACATGTTCCCATATACATTCTTTTTTTGTAATGTAACAAGCAATAATCTCAGGGTTTACTGGGTTTTACATGATTATTTTTGTATTGGTGGTGGAATACTAAAAAATAAGCATTGTCATGTATTTATCTGTCTTCTTCTCACCGATTCCTGATGGTTAGAGGACAGTTACTTGAGTCGTCCCAAGGAATAGTACAACGGAGAGCACGTCAAGTATAAACGCCTCGACCGTTTGGAGCGGTGCACGCGCTGTCTGTGGAGACTCGCGCTGCCTTGTTTACTTTCACCTGCCTCTACAGCGTGAGTCTTATTTATAATTTTTAATTGTTTCATCCACCTATATCTGCTCTAAACAATGCGTGCCACCATGACGGCGACTCCGGTTGCGAGCGGGTCAAGAGCGGTGCGCGCGCTGTCTGCGCCCGCCTCCGCAGCGCGAGTCTCCACAGACAGCGCGCGCACCGCTCTTGACCCGCTCGCAACCGGAGTCGTCGTCATGGCGGCACGCATTGTTTAGAGCAGATATAGGTGGATAAACAAGGTTTCCGTCTCATCGCGGGTTCAGATACACTGAAATACGTCCACACCACAGACATGTTGCTTCAGACAAGCACGTGCAGGTCGCGGTTTCTGTTTGCGTCATCACAACATTTCGGCCGTATTGTTTCGGTGATAAAAGTCTTTCCGCCGAAAACCGAAAATGCACTTTTGGGCCATTTTCGGCCGAAAATTTTCGGCGGCCGAATATTCGGTGCATCCGTAATTTTCACCGCTAGATGGGAGAAATTCCTACACAATGTCCCTTTAAATACTATATATAAATTTAAAAAAGTCTAGAGATGAGAATATAACTAGTACATGTTAAAATAAAACACATCTTAGTTTACAAAAAAATTAAAAGGATTACAACAACCAAACAGAGTTATATTAAAAAATGCTCTGAACACATCCATCATTATAAAAGTAATCCATACGGCTTATGTAATGCTACGTGACATTGTTTATAAGCAGTTTTATTTCTGCGGAGGAAACACTGATTGAGCGATTACACCAGATACTGTCATTAAGTTCTTCTAAATCTTTCAACATGTTTATTCTGTAAATGATCGTGAAGAAGAGATGATAACGTTCTCTCACGCTTGATTCGCTGATCTCAGTGTTTAATCCCTTTATAAAAAGTGTTAATTTATGATAGTGTTACATTTTAAAATGTATTTAAATGTTTTAATTATTATTGTTAAAAAAATATCGATTTAGATAGGATATTGAATGTTTTTGTCGCGAAAATAGGTCCAAACAAAAACCACAGCAGAACCACAGCACATCTCACCGTAACACAAAACCGCATTACTGAATGATTCAGCGCTTTGAACGAATCCGTCAAAGATTCAATGATTGTCTTAATACTTTATTAAGAGGACATTTATTTTTTCCCCTAAAGATGCATAAACATGACCAACTCTCTAATGCCAGTGGTGACAGTGGTGTCAGTGATTCCTCAAATCACAGCATTGACAATCCTCCTGTATTCAGAAAGATGCATAAACATGACCAACTCTCTAATGCCAGTGGTGACAGTGGTTTCAGTGATTCCTCAAATAGGAGCATCGAACAACCTCCATTATTCGGTAAGTACATTTCATCATCATGAATTTAAACGACATTATTTTTGTGTTAGCAGCTTTAAACATCATATCACCCTCAGAATAAATATATATATATATATATATATATATATATATATATATATTCTTTTTTTTCTTTTTTTTATTGTGTAAAAATGTGTTTGTACTGAATTTTGAGTCCTGTGTAAGTGTGTATAAATATCAATTGATACATAAAATTCAAGTGCTAAAATTCTTTGACAATTCTCTCTTCTGAGCTTTTTTTTTTTTTTTCTTCAAGATGATTTATGATTTGTTGGAATCCGAAAAAAAAGACAGTGTTACACATAGTTCATAGGGTCAGCAAAGTATATTTTGAGAAAAAAACAACAACAACATTACCTTAACATCCCTGGTTATTACAGTATGTCTGGGTATTGTTAAGATTTTTTCGATATCGATACCTTGACTGATACCGGTTCCAGAACAATACTTCTTTTCTACACCAATTTTCTGAAATCTAATACCAAAAATATGAAATTACATTACATATTACCTTACCTTATTAAATATTTTGTTAGTTTGTCAGCCCAATAGTGACCCACAATACTCAATTGTACAGTAAACTACTGACTACAGTGTTGCCAGTGTATAAACTTACTGTTTAAATACATTTTGTGGATGTGCCTTTTTATCCTTCATCTATATTGTGGTCAAGGATCAAAAAATAATAAGCATGAATCAAACATTTAAAAACACATGTAAAAATATATTGCACAAACTTAAAAACCTAATGCAAAACGATCAGAATAGCAATCTAGGTGTTAAATGTTGTCATTTACTGTATCGAAGCTTTAAATTGTAGCAAACTATAGCTTTTTTCCCTTTGCAATCTGCTGTAAAGTTTGCGATATTCCTTGAAATTGATATTCACTGAAATGCACGAAGAATCTCTGTTTTCTCCCTTAAATGCTCACGTCTCTTTCCAGGTTTGTTTTTTCAAGTACGTGATTGAGTCACTGTTTCTTCAAGAAGTGCTGAAATGTCAAATACTTTTGTGCTAATCTTATGTGTATGTTGGTTTCGATTTTTTTCATGTTTGTTGTAGGTATATCTGGAAATAGTTGTAGTATTTCTTCCTTACTATTGATTGACCTTAGCCTCTCTTATGTTTCAAATTGCAGCAATTGCTGCTGTTTTAGAAAACAACTTAAAAATGTGATTGGTTTATTTTTGCTAGCGTGACTCATTCCGTGACTCTCTTTGCCTCATTCAAGAATCTCGGTCCACTTTGTCGCTAAACTGACCGAAAAAAGCTCACGTGTGCATTGAATATTGTTATGTTTTGCATTGAGTAACACAATTTAGGCTACTGTTTTGTTTATTTAAACTGGATTTGAACCTCTTGTCCTTTTTTCATAACAGCATTAAACATGAGTGATTCCAGAGCAGCAGAAAGAGCAGGTGAGTTTAAGTCTGAATGCTCCTGTAACAATGACTGTGAGGGTCTTTGTGATTTGCATAGCTAGTAATTGGTAGCTACTGAATACATAGTAAACCATTTTTTTGGCAATAATTTTGAGCAATATTTGTATTTATATAGTGTTATTTTTGCTAATGGTAATTTTCAATCTGAATCTTGATTGTAGAAGTGTTAAAAAAACATAAATACACCATAAAAGAAGAACTCAGACGAGGGATTTCAGGAAGAGTGTTTCTGGTGAAGAGTCCAGATGAAGATTACTTTGTGGTCAAAGAGATCAACTACAGAGATGTAAGTACAAGCAAGAGTTTATTAAAGTATTGAACATGAATGTGTCCCAACTCTGGCATAAAACCTGTGCCAAATCCAAATGTGTGTGTTAGGGCTGGGCGATATATCGCACGATATTGTTATGTGCAGGGTGCGATTTGTGAAAAAAACAGAGGGAGGGATGTTTTGAAAACAAAATATTCATAAAAATAAATCATGAGAACATGAACTTCATCAATGCATTGCAGGAAAAAAAAATCTTATTAACTCATGAAGTATCCTAACGCAATATTTTTACTCTAATAGCTTCCCACACATTATGAACTGTGATCATACTCAACGAAAAACATGCAATAACTAAATCAATAGATTAATAGAGTAGGCTAATTTATATCAGCCTCCCCTGAACCACGGATTGATTAACACAGTCTCATCCCAAATCGTCATATAACTGACGTTTTGGGACGTATTTTGACCATACGTCAATATCCGCCTTTTTAGGGCCCTCTTAAACGTCGGTAGATGGCGATCCCGGGCCGTCATACAACTGACGCTTTACCTTTAACGTCAGTTAGGTGACGGGTTAGGTTTAGGTCTGGGGTAGAGTTAGGATGCCATAACCTCATCTACCGACGTTTAAGGGGGCCCTAAAAAGGCGAATATTGACGTATGGTCAAAAGACGTCCCAAAACGTCAGGTATATGACGATTTGGGATGAGACCGGGTTGGATTGATTGCAAAGTTAAACCATCATAGAAACAGTTTTACTGCTGCTGTTAAGTGAAAGTAATAATGTTAATGTTACATTGCGATGCTGAGATACAGCGAAATGATAGAAAAGACAGATGCATCATCTATGTTAATCAATTTGCTTCATTCGCGCTGCAGAACCTCTAGACGCGCGCAAACGCGTCTTTACATCGATTTAACATTGAAATCACTCGCGCCAGACGTTCAAGGGTGAGTGAAACACCGTGTGTATAACTTCGGCCATTCTCAGTGACTGGGACACTAGCTCTGCTCGTCATCATAGAAACAGATAATCAGACTGTGATGTTATTCTGAACGCTCTCTGTTTCTACGCACAGCTCCACAGCCCAGCGCGGATCTGCAACCGTCTCGCAAGTGTTGATAGGCGTGAGGTGTAACCAATCAGATAGCGCCGTGGGCAGGACATTGAGCAAGTCTGCAGACTCGTGCAGAGCGACAGCTATATGAGAGTCAGCCAAAGTAGCGCATTTAAAAATGCGAATCGCACCCTGGTTATGCGCATCTAATCAGTAAAGCCGGTTCCTTGATTAGTAGTAAATCACCTTCACATGCTTTCAGATGGACGATATGAGTGTTAAATTAAACTGTTATTTAGATAATTAAGTGATTAATTTAGTGAAGATTGAGCATTATTGAAGACACCTGATGATCACAAGCAGAATCTCTGAAGGAGAAAATCACAAATTGTAAGCCACCGTTATGGAGATCAGTGTCTGCTTTAGTTGGGATCTTGACACCTTTACTTTCACTTTAAATTTTGTTTGTCTGCTGCTATTGATTTATAGCAGTCAAATAAGACATCTGTGATCTGATAGTGTTGATTATGCTTTGACATAATCATGCTTGATCTGAAAAAATGAATTCTATTTTTATGATTTGCTTTAATTTGTTAGCAACAGTTTTGTGTTTGTGTTGCATATCTGTATTTTTCTTATAACTTAAAATTTTTAATATATATTCTGATCAAATCACTCTCATCTTTATTTAGAAACAGAGATCAATAATCAGCCTGTGTATCTCAATTGTGTTGAAAAAATTAATCCTTGTTGCCACCAATCACAACTCATTAATGGCTCCCATCATGCATTGCGGTTTGAATAAATTATGATCTGAATTGTCTATGTAATTTACTTTTCCTACTTGAATATTCTACTCATCACCGTTGTTGAGAAGCATTGACTGAATCTTGAGGTCTGTGTGTGCCTTAAAGAAAGATTTTTTTTTTAAACAACTTTTGAGAAATCTGTCTATTTACATTCTGGACATTTATGCAGAATCTCAGCTATACATTAACCAACAGAATAAATTATAGACAGAAATATCAAATGATGAATGCCATTATATGACCAACAGATATAATTCAGATGCAATAGCAAACTAAAATATAAACTTTGTATCATAAGTGTCAAGACCCCAACTAAAGCAAACACTGATCTCCATAACGGTGGCTTAAAATTTTTAATGACTTAATTATCTCATTAACTTTAACACTCTTGACTGTGGACTTATATACACTCACAGGTGTGTTAATTTAACACGGGAGATTTTGTCGTGACGAAGAGCCGTAGTTAACTGACCAGCTGAGCCATATCGCATTAAATATCGCTATCCATATGTCCTCGATATTAACGCGATATGGCTCAGCTTGTCAGTGATCTACGGCTCTTTGTAGTAAATGCCGCTCCATTTGAAAGCAGGTGAAGGTGATTTACTGCTAATCAAGGAACCGGCTTTACTGATTAGATGCGCATAACAATATCGTGCGATATATCGCCCAGCCCTGTGTGTGAAGTGATCCCTGCAACAAGCGGAAATAAAGCTAGATTGATTGAACATATTAATATGATCCTATAGATAAACATCACAATGTGTTCTTTGCAGAATATGGATTTTTATCGAGACGCAGTCAAAAACGAAATCAACATCCTGAAGAAACTGCAGCATGGATATATCGTTGGTTACAAGGACTCCTTTGAAGGTGTGTGTTTAAATTATACAAAGAGAATTATACATTATTATACAATTATACAATTATTATATATTATTATACAATGTTCCTTCAGTCTGGAAGTAAATTTTACATTTTTTTTTTTATTTTTTTTTTTGAAAGTGTGAAACCTTTTTATGAATGTGAACAACAAACAGTTTTGGGGTAAGATGGAGAAAGATGAGTGATGTGCATTTACTTTTAATGTGTAATATCTAGTAATTTTGACCCGAAACTCATTTTAAAAAACAATTTTCATCAAAGGGGTCCAAGAGGGATTTTGTGGTTAAAATCTAAAAAAGTATAAAATACTTCCCTCACGAGGCAATTTGATTCATGGAATGCGAGGAATGCTAAAAAAACATGAAATATTGTTATATTATTAATTTTAATACTCATAAGTCACGTGTTCACTCAAAACATAACATGAAAGCACACAGTGTAAAACACAAGCTACATTCAATAAAATACATGAAAGCACAAAACACACAGACAGAAGAGCACAAGAGAATGAGCGAATACTCGTTACATGCCCTCATGACAGAAGACAAACATTCGGAGGATGAATGTCTGAATCCCTACACATAACCGATAGTTACTGCAGTCTATCTAATGTTGGTCCACCAATAGATTTGAAATATTTTTGTAGTTTTGGCCAGATTACTAGTTTTGAATGAGTGATCTGAAAGGTTTTCAGACCGAAATGAACGGGTCCAGATCGGATCCGGATAGGGTCTGCCGCGGATCTAGTCTGGATCCGCAATCCTGATCTGTTCCGGATCCGTTGCGCTGTGCGTGTTCTTACCTCCGCGGCAGATCCGTTCCGGAGTCAGTTGCCATGTGGGAAAGCGAAACCCCCATTCTCGTCATCTGACGTAACTCGGAGTGACTACGAAAGGGAACTATTTTTTACTCTATCAAATAAGTGTTTTCTTTGTGAATATATTGTAACATGTAATTTATTCCTGTGAGCGTGACACTGCAGACTGGAGTAATGAGGCTGATGAACATTTTTTTGGAAATAAGTTCCAAAGAATGTCCAATGCTTTTGACTGGTAGTTTATACACATGTAATTTCCTATATTTTTAAATGAACATATTCCATAATAATACATCATTGGTTTTATTTTTGGATGTTTTTTATGATGAAGAATCTGGATACTTCTACATTGTGTCGGAGTACTGTACAGGAGGAGATCTGGACAAGAAAATGAAGGAACAAAAAAATAAACATCTTCCTTTCAAAGAAGAACAGGTGAGTGTTATATGCACTCTGTTGAGTGGTAAATGGTAAATGGACTGGACAACAAAGCGCTTTATATTTTTTCCTCACATTCACTCACTCATTCATACACCGACGACGGTGTCAGCCATACAAGGCACCATCCAGCTCATCCAACAATGACAAATGCAAGCTTTTAGAACTCAAATATACCAAACAAAAACAAATACATTTCATGGAATACATTATTGCTTTCTTGTTTTTCTTCTGTGTGCAGATCATTGACTGGTGTGTTCAGATTTGTCTGGCTCTGCAGTATCTCCATAAGAACAATGTTCTCCACAGAGATATAAAACCACAGGTAGACATTGACAAAGGTCATTTAATCATTAATTAAAGTGAAAGGTGAATGTGTTTGTGTTCATGTGATGATTTATGGTGTTCCTCTAGAATGTGTTTCTGACTGAGAAAGGTTACATCAATCTGGGAGATGTTGGATGCTCAAAAGTGCTGCAAAGGTGAAATTAAATAGGATTAATAGCATTTTTAAAGGGATTTTCTCTGTTCCATGCATTCGAATTTACATGTTTGATTTTTCTGTTTTAGTGCTGATGAATATGCAACATCAGTTGTGGGTACAGAGCTCTATATCAGCCCAGAGATCTATGAAAAGAGACATAATTCAAAAAGGTATGCTTTTTTCTAAAATATTTGGTACAATGAGGTTGTACCTGGTTTCACAGCCTTTGTTTAGTTTGGGGACATATCGATAGCGATATTTAATGCGATATGGCTCAGCTGGTCAGGTAACTACGGCTCTTCGTCACGATAAAATCTCCCGTGTTAAATTAACACACCTGGGAGTGTATATGAGTCCACACTCAAGAGTGTTAAAGTTAATGAGATAATTAAGTGATTAAATGAGTGATGATTGAGCATTATTGAAGACACCTAAAGCAGAATCACAAGGAGAAAATCTAAAATTGTAAGCCACCGTTATGGAGATCAGTGTTTGCTTTAGTTGGGCTCTTGACACTTATATTATTAATTTTATATTTTTATTTGCTGTTGCATCTGAGTAATACCCGCCAGATGAACAAAGATAAACAATTATAAAATGATGTGCGTCACATAATGACATTCATCATTTTATATTTATGTTAGTGATTTATTCTGTTGGTTAATGTATAACTGATATTATTCATAAACATCCAGAATGGTAAATATAATATAATGGATTTCTCAGAAGTTCTAAAAAAAGTTCTAAAAATCTAAAATTTTAAGTCATTGTTATGGAGATGAGCGTTTGCTTTAGTTGGGCTCTTGACCCTTATATTATTAACTTAATATTTTTATATCTATCAGATGAACAAAAATAAACAATAATAAAATGATGTTGGTCATATAATGACATTTATCATTTGAAAGTATGTCTATAATTTATTCTGTTGCTTAGTGTATAACTTAGATTCTGCATAAATGTCCAGAATGTTAAATATAATAGACGCGATTTGGCTCAGCTTGTCAGTGAACTACGGCTCTTTGTAGTAAATGCCGCTCCATCTGAAAGCAGGTGAAGGTGATTTACTGCTAATCAAGGAACCGGCTTTACTGATTAGATGCGCATAACAATATAGTCCGATATATCGCCCAGCCCTACTCGTTACTGTTTAGTTCATTCACCTGTTTACCTGTCATTATCAGTTAATTTGCCCCAGCTGTGTCCTGTTTCCCTGATCTGTTCCCTGTGTATTTAAGGCTATGTTTACACGGAAACGATTCTGAAGAGAAAACGCAAAAGTGGCGTTGCATTATCACTTTTTATTCTGCGTTTAGACAATCGCGTTTTTTGGTGTGAAATCCGCATGCGGATGGTGATGCAAAAATCTATGAAATTCACTGTAGTATGCACTCCAGGCAGCTAAAGAGTGCATACTACAACAACACCAAACCCGCGCGCCTGCGTACAACCTTCACTGTCAAGCAGACTTTTGAGTTTTACCATTTACACGGAAACTTGACGGTGGAGCGTTTTTAAGATTTCCACTCTGGAGGGTGGTTTCACTTTTTTGCATTTTTAAGCCTCATAAACGCCGTCGCCATGTAAACGAAAAGCACATCCGATAAAATATTTTTACGTTTTCACCCGCAAGCGTTCTCATGTAAACAGGGCCTAAGTCCTGTGTTTCAGTCTAGTACTTGTTTGTCATTGTCGCGACATGCTTGGTTGTTCTGTTCATGTTTCTTATATATCGTTCTAGTTTGTTAAATAAAACTGCTGCATGGCCATCCTGCTTCAACCAGCCTGTAACAATAACTAACATATTGGGGACAGGTGTAACCTAATTAACAATCAAGAAGATTAACTAGAACACACTTTAGCAAGCAGACAGGGAAAAACAAATCTCAATGAAAACAGATACATAGATTTGACACTAGCCAATATCAATTCACGGTACTAACTAGATTATACTGACTTTGTTTAGTGACATCTGGTCGTTGGGATGGGTGCTTCATGATCTCTGCATGCTGGATATTTGGGTGAGTGTGTGTGTGTGTGTGTGTATATATATATATATATATATAATGTTATCATTTTTATTATTATTTAATCTATTCTTTAAAGTGGGTCTCTAAATGTAGGGTCACTGGGCCATAGACACGGACCGACTATGTACAAATGGCCAGTCTTTCAATGCATTAAATCATGTCAATGCAAATTAAAATAATCCTATGGCTCAATCAATTAACTTTAGTGTACAAACAAAAAGAACAGACCAAATCTATTTTAAGTATATATATATATATATATATATATTACTTTACATTTGCACACACAGACATATATTTTTTTCTCAGCATTTCTCCTCTTCTCTAGATTGCTTCTTAAAGGGATAGTTCACTTTGAAATTAATTTTTGGTATGTTTTATCTGACCTCAAGGGCATCCAAGATGTAGGTGCCTTTGTTTCCACAGTATTTTCAATTTTGACATTTTTCAGTCAAACCGTTGTTGTCTATCAGTCATACACTGGAGGCTAAGGGGGTCCACCAAAGAGCAGCACAGAGAAGTCCAAATTAAACACGATTTAATGACTCGTAAATGTAAGTACACATTGATGGCCTAAGACATGAAACGAGCGGTTTGTGTGAGAAAACGAACAGTATTTTTATCGTTTTTACCTCTGTAATCACAGCCATGACAAAAATGATCTGACTGCACGGGCGCTTCGGTCTGGAAGTGATCGCTTACGCGCCGACGTCACTCTTTATTTATACAGAGATTTCGGAAGTTTTACCTTTCACTAAACATATTTAGATATACGGGAAACCACAATGGAAAACGATTTCGGTATATCTAAATATGTTTAGTGAAAGGTAAAACTTCCGAAATCTCTGTATAAATAAAGAGTGACGTCACACGCAAGCGATCACTTCCGGCGTAACATTGAACTGATTCAGATCACTATGATTACACGAGGTAAAAACTATATAAATACTGTTGGTTTTCTCACACAAACCGCTCGTTTCGTGTCTTAGGCCATCAATGTGTACTTACATTTACGAGTCATTAAATCATGTTTAATTTGGACTTCTCTGTGCTGCTCTTTGGTGGACCCCCTTAGCCTCCAGTGTATGACTGATAGACAA